CTGCTGATAATGTGAGAAATATCCTTGGGACAAAAGGTGGTAAACACGAGTATTAACACGGAGGGAGGGATGACCAATTAAGAGAATGACTGAGGCCTTCAGTCACCACGTAATCCACAGTTATCCCACACTCACCATATGCTACTCTCGGAATGCACAATACACACAGCACCATATAAATATGAAAATTAATGATAATATTGAAAAGCAACTTTAGCAAAGCGAGGTACGCTTACTACAAATTGACGTTCTGGTACTAGTACCTGAGTGAAGCTCCAGGACAGGCCCCCATTAAATGTGACGGGAAAGTGTTGGAGTATAGATGTTCGGCAGTCCTCTAATAGCAGGTGTCAATGCCTGGTCACACTTACAAAATAAGATAGACTGTTTGCCTGTTGTCTGTGGTGAGAGGGAGGAACACGTAACACATAAAGTATGAACAATGAAACTTTAATATATACTTTAAACATAAATAAAAATAAAGACAAATCTCGGGGAAATGAATAGTGCAATTAAATAACAAAGATAAATCCAAAAACAATGTGAGACAAAATAGTAAATGGTGAAATGGTGCTGAGAATATTGGCTATGGCCGAGACCTCCCTTAGTATACAAAAGCCAGAGAGCTTAATATGCCAGAGAGAGATGTCAACTCTTAGAGCACAATGAATATTCTGAAGTTGATGGCTGGTCCAGGCTCAGTCGTGGACTCAGGTAGATGGCGCTGAGGTGCAGTGTGCAGGTGTGCAGTCGGCGAATCACCAATCAGGAGCAGGCAGGCTGGGATGGGTAGTTGGCTGGTTGACGACGAGCCGGCGTGGAGGGTGTGTGGAGTTGGGGGGTTCTTGGGTACATTTTGCCTCCTGGTCAAAATGTTTTGCGCTACCGGTGAACGTGTCTTGAATGTAGCATCTTATACTTGTATACTGGACGTAACTTTAGGTAGGGAAGAGCAGGCTCAATCTCTCTTGAAAGAGATTATAGTCACAGTATCCTTGGTGATATTTAGCGCCCTCTGATTATCCCTCACATTTGATGGTGCTACATAGCCTTCACGGTTTGGTGCCTTCTTTTTATAATTACTTACTTACACACACACGCTTACTTACATTTGCATGCATAAATAAATACATACACACATACACTTACATTTTATTCATATATACAAGCATACATACATACGTGCATATATACATACATGTTTATATACTCTCATAATTAATAATTCATTTTATATAAATCAATTATTTATTTATATGAAAGAATTTTATATAAATGACGCCTCTATTTAGTCTGGTGTAATTAGATCAACCCTAAAACTTTTTTAAAATAATTATAAGTCATATTTTAGCAGTAAATAAAGTGTGCATTCATCCCAATAATCGTTCAATTGATAATATTTATGCATAACAATCAATGAGATTAACATATCATTCGAGCAACTCCGAAAATATAACGCAAATTACCCAATCATAACCTATCCTATCCTAGTCTAAAGTAACCCTACACTATCCTATCTTATTCCAGCCCTTCCCCCAATCTAATCTAAATAAATCTACCCCATCCTAACTATCCTAGTCATACCCTAGCTAATCCTATCCTAACCTAACCTATCCTAATCTAACCTATCCTAATCTAACCTATCCTAAACTATCCTATCCTACTCCATTCCAACATAATCTGTCCTAGTCTAAACTACCCCTACACTATCCTCTCCTATACTATCCAATCCTATCCTAATATACCCCTGAGTTTGAGATAAGGCACACTAAAATATAATAATTTAACACCAGTCACACAAAATGATACACTTGTACATACATACACTAAAAATATAAACAAAATATAAAAATACATCATAAAACACACTAACACATTTACACTCAATATGGGAATTACGCACACAGTAAGACATTTCCACACCAATATGTCATTTACACACAGAATATATCATTTACACAAAATATACCATTTTATGCACTAAATCTACCATTTTATGCACAAAATATACCATTTTATGCCAAAGATAATGTCCTACTGCCACACCATGGACGGATCCGAGCACACGCCGAGCATGCAGGCGTAATTCATGGGAGTAAGGCTCACTCACTCAATAGGTCAGAGTGGCCTGCAGGAAAGGCCACTCTGACCTATTTTATACCAAATATTTGTGTGGCACAAAAATATTTGATGCACAAAAATATATCATTTACACAAATACTGTATGCACACTCAAAGTGTGACATTTACACAAAGTTTGGTAAATATAGAGAATAGGTGCATAAAAAGTGCATAAATATAGCAAATTCCATATACGCCCATACAATAGAAAATGCACTTTCACAAAAATTACACAATTTTATAAACATTATTTTCCCAAAATACCCACACACACTGATACATAAACCAAATATACTTTCACACTTGCTTATGCAAATCTATTTTTTTCACATAAGATATACAGAACTAACACAAACACAATTTGCGCAAAAATACAGTTGAATCAGTTCCTTGTTCAGCATTTAAAACACAACTTGCATAAATACACGAGTCGCACAAAAAAGATTATATAACACGGGCAATTAATACACAACTTGTGTAATTAAAAAACATCTTGGCACAATTAATACATCAAAACTTGCTATATAATTGCACAACTTACATAATGTCAATCAATACACATCAGGCACAAATACACAATTCCTCTATATATAATTACACAACATGCGCAATTAATACACAACTTGTGCAATTATTACACATCTTTCATAATTATTACTCAAGTTGCATAAGTACAATCAAATACATATCCAGCTCAAACACATACTGTTACGGTTATCCCCTGCCTCACAGTGAATTCTGGCTGTTCCTTACGTCTTTAATATCAGCATGCTTCTACTACCGCTACCACCCTATCCTCCACAAGAGAGGCGCACCTGTAACCCACCGGCGCTAGTTACCACCAGCAAACAATCACTTCTCTTGCCGGTTCCTCATTTACGGACCCAGCGTCGCGCCTATATGACTGTTGTTGTTGTGGTTTTAGATTTAGCTACTCAGAAAGAAATGTCCACGTAGCACGGGGTATGGTGAGCCCGTAAGCCAATATGATGTCACCACCGTATATATAGCCATGGCCTGGGCTGTGGTGAATCAGAAGCAACTTGGTGTTCTCTCAGTTCGCTTGTCTTCCCTTGCCTTGACGTTCTAATTAGGAGTGGGTGACGGGTGACATTCTGAGCACATTAGCACATTGTATAGTGTCACATTCATCTTCTTGTCAGTAACGTAGATTCTCTTGTATATATATTTTCTTTTTGATTGTGTTAAGCCAAGTGGTTAAGTTTTTTTTATCATTAATAGTTAATTATTATTTTTGTGTAAAATTAGTCATTTTATGTTTTATTAAATGTTTAAAGTTTTTATTTTCTAGTTTTTGCCCGCAATTGGTACACCGTAAAGGACTCGGCAGCTTTATTTGATTTAATTTTCTCTTTTTTTTTTTAACTAATGTGAGATTGGCACAACACCTGCCAGGATAATACTGCTCTATTCCAGATCACGCCACAATACAATAAATAACTAGCCCAAATATGTAAAATATACAACTAGCACAAATACACAATTTGAAATGAAAATGGTACTGGATACGTGCAATCACTCGCTGAGGCAACGAAAACGAGTTTGCCTACGAAAAATAATTTTTAAGATTCTCTCAGTAATTCCTAGTAGGCACACTTTCCACTACTGTGGTGGTAGTGATGGTGGAGTGTGGTGGTGGTGGAATGTGGTGGTGGTGGTGGAATGTGGTGGTGGAGTGTGGTGGTGGTGGCGGAGTGTGGTGGTGGTGGCGGAGTGTGGTGATGGGAGGTGTGGAGGTGGAGGTGGTGGAGTGTGTGGATGGTGGTGCTGGTGGAGTGTGGTGATGGTGAAGTGTGGTGGTGGTGGTGGTGTTTGGGGGTAGTGGCGAGTGATGGTGGTCGTGGAATGTGGTGGCTTTGTTAGGGTTGTGGTTGTGATAGATTATGGTGGTTTTGGTGGAGTGTGGTGGTTGTGGTGGAGTTTGGGAGTGGTGGTAGTGGAGTGTAATGGTGGTCGTGGAATGTTGTGGTGTTGGTGTGTGATGGAAAGTGGTGGGTTTTGGTAGTGCTGTGATTGTGACAGGTTGTGGTGGAGTGTGGTGGTTGTGGTGGAGTGTGGTGGTTGTGGTGGAGTGTGATGATGGTGTGGTGGAGTGTGATAGTGGTGTGGTGGAGTATGGTGGTTGTGGTGGAGTGTGGTGGTTGTGATGGAGTGTGGTGGTTGTGATGGAGTGTGGTGGTTGTGGTGGAGTGTGATGATGGTGTGGTGGAGTGTGATAGTGGTGTGGTGGAGTATGGTGGTTGTGGTGGAGTGTGGTGGTTGTCGTGGAGTGTGGTGGTTGTGATGGAGTGTGGTGGTTGTGGTGGAGTGTGATGATGGTGTGGTGGAGTGTGATAGTGGTGTGGTGGAGTATGGTGGTTGTGGTGGAGTGTGGTGGTTGTCGTGGAGTGTGGTGGTTGTGGTAGAGCGTGGTGGTTGTCGTAATTGTGGTGGAGCCTGGTGGTGCTTCGCATTCTAATGATTGAAGGAAACAGAGGAAATGAATATTGGTTTGACTACCTTGCATAAATGAATAAAATTATTGGAATTAAAATTAGTAGATGAAAAAATGCAGACTGTAATTAGTTGTTTCTCTATACGACAACCTATCAATATATCTCTATATTGATAGTTTACTCCTTGTACTAAGTTTACTGAGGTATTACGTACTCCAGTACATTGGACCTGAGTAAACTGTCACAGTAAGGAACATGAACGACTCTCTCTTCAGATCAAGACACTCAACCTTTCAATAACTTCTACAGAATCAAGCAAATACAAAATAACCAGAAATATTCATTTCCCAATAATTAGCACTACGGTGTGTCCGGCAGGAATGTTCAATTACTTCATCTTGTGTCGTTTTCTATCCCCTCCAGAGCCGGTGAAGTGCCCAGCTGGAATGTTCAAGTGCCGCTCTGGACCGTGCCTGGACGCCGCCCGTCAGTGTGACGGGAACATTGACTGTCCCGAGACCTGGGACGACGAAGACTTCTGTCGTACGTCTCACTCTCCTTTCTCACTCTCTGGAGTCCCAGAACCGGTTTGTCGTAATATATTGTGTCTTACTTTCTATGTCACGTCTCCTTTCTGTCTAGTCCCTGGGTTTTAAGCGCCCAGTCATGGATTTACATTGTCAGCGCGTCGCCGACCCAAGACTACAAGTAAGATTTATAGATTTTCGAAAGATTTTAATGTCATTATTTGACCAATACGATTGTGAACTCGAATGCTCACATCTTGCCGGACTGGAAGAGATTATCATCAAGCCAAAATTCAATAAAGTAAGTAATTATCAAAAGAAAGCACCAAACCGGGAAGGCTATATAGCACCATCAAATGTGCAGCATAATCAGAGGGCGCTAAATATCACCAAGGATGTCAATACGAGAACAAAAACGCATAAGGCGAACGATATCAAAAGTATCTGAGTCACCAAGAATTCTATTGAGGGACAGGTGACCGCGAGGGGCAGTCGGAAAGCAAGACACACGCTCATCCTGGAAGTCAGGACATTCAAGAAGGACATGCACGACCGTAGGAGGGACAATGCAATTAGGACAATAACGAGTTGGGCGGCGCTCCATCAAGTGACCATGGGTTAAGCGAGTATGGCCAATACGCAACCTCGCCAGAGCCGTTTCCCATCGCCGGTTAAGGTGGTAGGAGGACGAGGAAACACAACACTTAAGAGTATGTAGTTTGTTACCAGTAACAGACGACCAAGAAGCCTGCCAACGGGTATGGATGGAGGAATGGAGAACCGGGTAAAAGTAGGAATATGGAATACCTTTACGAGAGATGGGACAAGAGCGGACAGATTCCTTGGCGGCAGCATCCGCACGCTCATTTAAAGATCTCGACAACTACTGGATGAACCGGATTAAAGGTCCCGAGAGCCATGAGGGCACTGCGAGAGTCAACAACAACTACAAAGGAAGACTGACAACGAGAAAGCAGGAGACGAAGAGCATAGAGAATAGCATAAAGCTCCGCCGTAAAGATGCTAGTCTTCGGAGGTAAGCGACACATATAAGTGTGATCAGGAAATTCAAGAGAGTAGTCAACACCGTCCGCAGACTTAGACCCATTGGTGAAGACAGAAACGGAGTGGGAGTGAGAAGAAAAGTGCTCAAGGAAAAGGCATTTTAGAACTGTAAGAGGGGTAAAAGCTTTAGTGATGAAGGTCAAGGAAGTACAAAACCACGGAAGGGGGACTCTCCACGGGGGCAAAGAAGGAACAACGTGAGGAGAAACATTAGAAATACGAATGGAAAGAGAATCCTGTAGGCGAAATAACCGGACAGAAAGAGGGAGGTGGTGAAGAGGAACAGGAACCGCAGGAGGGGTAAAAGTTAAAGCACGACAGAGGCGAGAGGAAGGATGTTGTAAGGACCGCGCAAGATAGCAAAGACAGTAGCGATCATGGCGGTCCTGGAGAGACAGGAAGCCAGTGTCAACATATAAGCTAAGGACGGGAGTCGAACGAAAGGCACCAAAACTGAGGCGCAACCCAGTATGGTGTAAAGCATCAATACGGCGAAGAGTAGAAGGAGAAGCAGACGAGTAAGCAGGGCAACCATAATCGAGCTTAGACAGGACGAGAGAGGAATGTAAAGCAAGGAGAGTGCGCCTATCCGCCCCCCAAGAAGTATGGGACAATACCCGAAGGAGGGTAAGGGCATTAGAGCACTCAACACGGAGGTAAGAGATATGGGGAGACCAAGACAAATGAGTGTCAAGGAATAACCCTAAAAGCTTCGCGGAATCTTTGTACTCAAGGGGATGACCATAAAGTGACAAAGAGAGACGAAGAACGACCCGTTTCCAAGTAAGAGTCATGGCACAAGTCTTAGAAGTGGAAAACTTGAAGCCATGATCGGTGGCCCAGGATGACACAGCATCAATTGCAAGTTGAAGCTGGCGCTGAAGGGGAGGCGAATCATCACCCTGACAGCAAAGGGTAAGATCATCGACATAGAGAGCGGAGAAGACACCTGAAGGAAGAGAGGAAAGAAGACCATTGAGGGCAACCAGAAAAAGAGTAGTGCTCAGAACACTACCCAGGGGCACACCTTCGTATTGCTGAAAAGAGGCAGAGAGAGCGGTACCAAGTCGCACCCGAAAGGAACGACGAGAGAGGAAGCTGCGGAGAAAGAGAGGGAGATGACCACGAAGGCCAAAAGAATGAAGTTGGGATAGAATATGATATTGCCAAGTGATGTCGTAAGCCTTTTCCAGGTCAAAAAGAACGGCAACTAAGGAGGTCTTCGCAGCAAAAGCAGTACCAATATAGACCTCCAAGTTCACCAGGACATCTGTCGTGGTGCAGCACTTGCGGAAACCAAATTGAGAAGGGGAGAGGAGGTGATGGTGTTCCAGGAACCACATCAGACGAACGTTAACCATACGTTCAAAGAGTTTGCAGACACAACTTATGAGGGCAATAGGGCGAAAGTCCTTAGGGGAAGTACCCAGAAGCCCCGTTTGCGAACAGGGAAGACAACGGCATCGAGCCAGTCCTCAGGGACTGACGACGACTCCCAGATCCGATTATACAGACTCAGTAATTACTGAGACGTGCACGGAGGGAGATGGCGAAGCATCACATAATGAATACCATCGGAGCCCGCCGCCGTAGAACCGCAGTGGGCGAGGGCAGAACGAAGTTCAGAGAGAGAGAAGGGATCATTATTGGGAAGCTGAAGACGAGTACAGAAATCTAAAGGACGAGACTCAAGGACAGGTTTACGAAGAAGGAAAGATTGGGGAAGATGAGGACCAGAGCTAACAGAAGAAAAGTGGGAACCCAGTTCGGAAGCGACCTGCAATGAGTCCACCACAAGGTGGACTCATGAGTCCACCATGGAGGTGAAGTACCGATGAAACATAGGAAACGAACTTACCCGCTATCTTGCGGATATGCTTCCAGATCTGTGGCAGAGGAGTTTCGGACGTAATTGTGGAGACATAAGATGCCCAACATTCACACTTAGCCGTACGGATGGCCCTACGGGGCACCGCACTCGCTTTGCGAAAGAAAAGAAAAGAATCGGCAATCTGCCAACGGCGGTGCCTCTTCCAGGCTGCACGCTTACAGCGGACAGCCTGAGCACAGTCTGCATTCCACCAGGGAACGCACTTCCGTGGACCCCGAGAGGAAGAGCAAGGAATAGAGCCGAGGGCAGCGTCGAAGACAGTGTCATGAAAAAGGAGGAGAGCACGGGGGAGAGGTCAGAGAGAGCAGCACTGAGGGTAAATAAGTTCCAGTCCGCCTTAGCAAACTGCCACCTAGGGAAGGAGAGGGAAGGGCGAAAAGAGAAAAAGGAAACAAGGATGGGGAAATGGTCACTGCCATGGGGGTCATCAAGAACCTGCCACGTGAAATCTAAGTAAAGAGAAGAAGAGCAGAGAGAAAGATCAAGACAGGAAAGGGTGCGAGTCCGAGAGTCCAAATGAGTGGGCTCACCAGAATTTCAGAAGAGACAGGGAAGAAGAGAGGATAAACGGCTCAAGAAGGCGACCTCGGGTATTCGTCAGAACATCACCTCAAAGAGAATGACGACAAGTGAAATCACCCAGCAGGAGCACCGGCTCTGGCAAAGAGTCCAGGAGGTGTTTCAAATCAGGAAGAGAAAGCGGGACACTCGGGGGGAGATCAATGGAACAAACTGTATACCATTTCCCCACAAAGATACGAGCATCAGAACAATGGAGAGGCAAAGGAAAAAGTAAGGGGACGAAGGGAACATCAGCGCAAATCAAGAGAGCAGAAGAATTAGAAGCCCCAGCAATGGCTGAGAGGGGGGGGTGAGAAAGGAATAGCCACGAAAACGACCAGGACGAGTACCAAGCATCGGCTCCTGGAGACAGACCCAAAGGGGCAAAAACCGCGAAATCAGAAGTTGGAGTTCGAGGAAATTGGCGTAATAAGCTCGAACGTTCCATTGAAGAATAGACATCGACGAGAAGAGAAAGGACAACAACAGAGAACAAGGAAGAAACAAAGGTGAAAGAACAACATAGCACGTTAAAGAATATCAGGGTAGGGATCAGGGTCAGCAAAGTCAGGGTTAGGGAGTATGGGTAAACTGAGCAAAGACAGAGGGAAGGAAGCGGGAGAACAGACCAGAGGTGGGTGGGTGGGGTCCGGAGGAGGAGGAGGAGACAACGGAGAGGAGCAGTCAAGGACAGCAGCAGGAAGTGGGGGAGTAGAAAGAGGGGAGCGCACCTCAGCAAGGGCAGCAACCGAGAGGGAAGCAGGGGCCAAAGAAACCTCCATAGCAAGAACAGGGGGCGCAACCACTGAAATGGGAGGGGATGGAGCAATAGAGCCAGTAGCAGGGGCCAAGGAAGAAAGCGAAGCCTTCTTACTCGCCGGGGAGGAGGAAGGAGAGGAGCCAGGCTTACGCTTCTGACGCAAAGAGACCGGTGTCCCAGCACCTACGTACCGGGCAACAGATTCCAGCGTATCAACAGGAGAAGCCGAACGAGAGCACACACGACGGCCGTTAGGAGAGCAATGGACATCCGCCTGCACCGACAGGCGGCGGGGAGAGTCAATAGATGGAGGAGAAGGATGGGAAAGAGGAAAGGAGGGAGAAGAGGAAGAAGACACAGGATACATGACAGACCGGGTAGAAAGAAGGAGAACCCCAGACAGAGGACCAGGAGGGGGACCCTTCGGGACAGAACTCAGAGGAGGGGGCAGTGGGCATATCAGGGTCCAAGACCCGGAAACGGTTGTGAGTTTGAGGAAGGTGGGAAGGATGAGGAGAGGAAGAGCGCAACACGCGAGCATAAGAGACGTAAGCATAAGGCGGGAGCCGGCGAACCTGGCGCCTTGCCTCGGGAAAAGATAAACGCTCCCAGTGCTTCAAGTTGAGGACGGCTGCCTCAAGCCGTCCGTCACAGGATACAGGATACAGGCACGGGAGAAGGTAGGATGGGCCTCACCGTAGTTGAGGCAGTGAGCTTGGGGAGAAGTGCACTCCGACTT